GTCGGGCGCTCCCCTCGCCCGCCAGGCCCCGGCGACGCCACGACCCCGCGGCCGCGCTACAGCCCGCTCTCGTCGAGGCAAATCCCAGCGCCGCGCAGGGGCGTCGGGGCTGCAGAAAAGACTCCGCCACGAACCGCTGCCGTGTAATGGATGGTCAGTGCATTTTTATTTAATCAGCACAGTACAAAAATAAATAAAAATAAGGGGAGGGGATTAAATTACAGGCACACTGAGCCCCATGACACAGTCGGTCAGGTTATAAACCACACATACTTACAAACACACTATACACATACATACAAAATGAGACAAATATAAATTAATAAGTAACAATACCCACCGATTTGGTCAACAAAGATCTACAGAAGAGATTGCACTAAAAAAACGTACGTACACATGTATCATTAGCAGGGTCCATGTACAGCGATGGCGAGCTTCAAGTGAAAAAGAAGAAATAAAAATAAATGGCACGTCATTTCTCCCTCTCGTTTGCGACTTTAACGCCCGATGGACCAGAACTAAACTAGAACTGTGCACACGGAGAAAAAAACCGAAATAAAACCCAAAAGAAGGTCTCAGTCCCCAGGCCTGATAGGGGAATTCCAGCTCAAGACTGCGGTATCGGGGTGGTGTCGGGTCTTTGTGCATGGGTGTCATTTTTACAGCCATCTCTCCGTAAGGTTTTTCTTTTGCTTATTATTTTTTTAAGTGTTTTTTTTTTCCTTTTTTTTTTTTTTTTGAAGACACAAAATGCTCCTGTTTGCATGCGCAATACCACTGTAAAAGCAACAATGAAAGAATAAAGAAGGGGTTTTCTTTTTTGCCCCCCCCCGCAGGTTAGGAGTTTGTTTTTTTGTTCTAAAAGTATTCATATAGCAGCATGTAGATTCTTTCCTTGCTTGCACACTCAAGTAGATCCTTTACACAATACTCATGATCAGTGCACGATGGGAACAAGACATTTCACATTGAGCTCATGATACAGTAGCGGTTTTTCCCTTAACCCCGACCGAAATGCGAGTCTCTTCAAAGAAAATAAATAGCGGGGGGCGGCGGCGCCGGCGAGTCACGATCGGCCCCGTTC